TCCCTACTTGACGGTTTTTCACTTATCGTGGGTCTTCAGGGTACGGATCCCCCGTGATAAACGAGGGACTACTGTAATGCAATAAACCAAGCTGACACAAAGTTAAAGGTGAACGTTGGTTCTGTTTTATTTGTCCTTCCAGCTCTGGCTCTGCTCTCTGATAATCAGCTGTGTTGTACCTCAGGTTTACGGAGGCTACGTGACCAGCCTGTTGCTCAGAGGGGAGGAGTCTCCTATAAAATGTGGAGCCGTCCTCTCACCCATCACGGACTTTGAATTATATGGTAAGCCTTGTTTTTTTCTGCACCTTTAAATGTAAAAAGCTTCAGACTCTGCTGTGTGTGGTAAACAAATACAGTAACTCAGCACAATCATCCGAGCTCTGACGGAGCTGTCAGAATGTACTGAAGAGAAAAAAGAAAGACAGATCTGGCACCTTTACCCCTCTCCTGGGAGTTCTTTCACCGACTACGGTATGCACATCTGTACTCTGAGAAGAAAAATAAAACCTATCAGAGCGACAGCATGGCGGCATATGGAACCCAATCAAACACTGCCCTCACCTCAGCAAACCAAGACATTTAACGTGCGAAACGTGGCGTTGTGCATCGTGAGGTTATGGGAAGAGAGATGGTGCTTTTGTAGCTGCTGAAGCAACAAGTCAGGAAACTGAAAATTAAAGAGGAGCTAGGTGTCGAGGTGTGACCAGCGATTCATCTGTTTGATTTTTCTCGCTTTGCCACAGGGTACGCGAGACTTGTGAGACACTGTATGCTGGGAATCGGAAATGAGGAGCATTTGCAACTGCCTCAAGTCTAGGAAATATGTAGATGGCTGAATATATTTTACCATGCATGCAAAACCCATTCAGAGTAACCAGGAAACATGACCACAATTATTGTCGGTGTTGCTGTTTTTATATTATGGAGTTTCTATTTGAATTTATGTCACAGTAAATTCTTGACAGAAACTTCTTGTGCTTTGCAGCCTCTGCTTTTTCTGAGAGATACCTGGGGCTGCCTAAACCGGATCCATCGGCATACACAGTAAGAGTTGATTGTATTTTGTACACCAGTGGTGTAGCCTACATTTCTGCAATGGGTATACTGCAGTAAAGTTAGTTTTACGTTGGACGATGGACACCACTGAAGCCACGGAGCGTGAATGTCCAACGTCCAATGTAAAACTAACTTTACCACAGTCGGTCTGTACAGATATACTGTGCTTAGAAACCAAAGTACACCTGTTAGTACAATGTAATTGTCAATTTATGTTGATTTTTAAGTATATTGAACATTTCCAAACTTCTCTGATGCTTATAACTGAATAAACATACAACAAACTGTACAACAGTTGGCTTTGTATTAAAAATGTTATAGAATTTATAAAACGGTACCAAAGCAAAACATGTTCAAGTATTTAGTAAGTACATAAGTA